ATTTACTGGCAGGATTGACGGGTAATAAAACTATGTTAAAAGGAAGTCCCAGAAAAAAACTATTCTGAGTTAATGTTGCTGATAGACTGTAGATACCATATTTATTTGTAATTTTATGATTTGTTCATAGTTACACTTCAAACCATCTGCTAAAATCTGATCTTAAAAGTGGTATTAAACTAAAAAACAAGCATTTATTGTATTGCAGCTTACCCATTCTTAGATGTATTGGCTGTATTTCCTGTTTTTAGGCTTTTTTTCCTTTATTTTCATCTGGTGATCTCACCAGTAAGTCTGCTGTTTTTCAACAGAACAAGCTCTTTTCTAGATGTATCAGCTACAGGGATGAGACAAACCATTTACCACTTAATACAAAAACATGTTGCGCTCCACTAATATAAAAATAATAATTAATTAATTTTATTATATTAGTGGACCGCGACATGTTTTTGAATTATTTGATTTTAGTTACACACGAGTATGGGTATGTCTATGGTGTAAGCGACCCACATATTTAATTTTTCACCACGTCATTGATTAATTTAGCAAATTAATTAACTTTAATATAAATTAATAATTTTATTTTATAAAATACACCATAGTAGCTCACAAGAATCACGTTTAAACCATTTACCACTGATGGGGTGATTAAAAAGATCTGCTTTCATTTATTCACGTTAAACCTTTATCCCAACAGGAAAATAGCTGTTTGCTGTAACTGAAGATAAAGTGTGAGTTGGAGTTTGGCTTCCATTTGTTAGTGTATCTAAATCTGCTAATACATTTAACACTTTCCTCTCCCCCAGACTGGCAATGGTGCTGTCTGCTGTGTCTGCTATCTCACTCCTCAAGTGTTGTGTCTCACTAGTAGAGGAGGGGAGTTACTAACTAGATCACCAGGAGAAAACGGAGGGAAAAAAGAAAACTAATGCAGACACCACATCTGATGACTGGTAAGCTGCACTATAATACATTTTTGGTATTGGGTTTGATACTGCTATGACCGACTGAACCAACAGCATAATTGTTCCTTAGCAACGTCTACATACATTGGGGCAAAAAAGTATTTAGTCAGCCACCAATTGTGCAAGTTCTCCCACTTAAAAAGATGAGAGAGGCCTGTAATTGGCATCATAAGTAGACCTCAACTATGAGAGACAAAAATGAGAAAAGAAATCCAGACAATCACATTGGCTGATTTGGAAAGAATTTATTTGCAAATTATGGTGGAAAATAAGTATTTGGTCAATATCAAAAGTTCATCTCAATACTTTGTTATATATCCTTTGTTGGCAATGACAGAGGTCAGACGTTTCCTGTAAGTCTTCACAAGGTTGGCACACGCTGTTGCTGGTATGTTGGCCCATTCCTCCATGCAGATCTCCTCTAGAGCAGTGATGTTTTGGGGCTGTCGCTGGGCAACACGGACTTTCAACCCCCCTGCAAAGGTTTTCTATGGGGTTGAGATCTGGAGACTGGCTAGGCCACTCCAGGACCTTGAAATGCTTCTTACGAAGCCACTCCTTCGTTGCCCGGGCGGTATGTTTGGGATCATTGTCATGTTGGAAGACCCAGCCACGTTTCATCTTCAATGCCCTTGTTGATGGAAGGAGGTTTGCACTCAAAATCTCACGATACATGGCCCCATTCATTATGTCCTGTACATGGATCAGTCGTCATGGTCCCTTTGCGGAGAAACAGCCCCAAAGCATGATGTTGCCACCCCCATGCTTCACAGTAGGTATGGTGTTCTTTGGATGTAACTCAGCATTCTCTCTCCTCCAAACACGACGAGTTGTGTTTCTATCAAACAGTTCTATTTTGGTTTCATCTGACCATATGACATTCTCCCAATCCTCTTCTGGATCATCCAAATGGTCTCTAGCAAACTTCAGACGGGCCCGGACATGTACTGGCTTAAGCAGGGGGACACGTCTGGCACTGCAGGATCTGAGTCCCTGGCGGCGTAGTGTGTTACTGATGGTAGCCTTTGTTACGTTGGTCCCAGCTCTCTGCAGGTCATTCACTAGGTCCCCCCGTGTGGTCAGGGGATTTTTGCTCACCGTTCTTGTGATCATTTTGACCCCACGGGGTGAGATCTTGCGTGGAGCCCCAGATCGAGGGAGATTATCAGTGGTCTTGTATGTCTTCCATTTTCAAATTATTGCTCCCACAGTTGATTTGTTCACACCAAGCTGCTTGCCTATTGCAGATTCAGTCTTCCCAGCCTGGTGCAGGTCTACAATTATGTTTCTGGTGTCCTTCGACAGCTCTTTGGTCTTCACCATAGTGGAGTTTGGAGTGTGACTGTTTGAGGTTGTGGACAGGTGTCTTATATACTGATAACAAGTTCAAACAGGTGCCATTGATACAGGTAATGAGTGCAGGACAGAGGAGCCTCTTAAAGAAGAAGGTACAGGTCTGTGAGAGCCAGAATCTTGCTTGTTTGTAGGTGACCAAATACTTATTTTCCACCATAATTGGCAAATAAATTCTTTCCAAATCAGCCAATGTGATTGTCTGTATTTTTTTTCTCATTTTGTCTCTCATAGTTGAGGTCTACCTAGGATGCCAATTACAGGCCTCTCTCATCTTTTTAAGTGGGAGAACTTGTACAATTGGTGGCTGACTAAATACTTTTTTGCCCCACTGTATATGGGACCATTATTTTAGCTGTGCCTAAGTATCTCACAGTGATTGGACAGTCACATAGAGCTTAACAATAACAGCACATTAAGCCCACATTATAAAAACTCCCATTTTTATTACCCTTCCTCCATACCATTGCAAGCTGCACATTTAGCCATACTACTTTGTGCCAAATTTTGCCGACGCTGCAGTATCCAAAATTACATTTTTAATGTACTTACTTGTTTTGCTGCTTTGAAGTACATAAACTATCGCAGAGTTTGCGTATCCCAGATTAAAATATGTTTATGCTTGTTCTGTAACTCGTTCACACATTTCCAATGTGTGCTGCGCTCCCGCATTATCGCCGCTGCCAGTAGGAGCTGATAGGAAATGGCTTGCAACGTGTTATATATTACATACAATTTGTCAGCCTTGTTACTTTTTTATGCGGGGAAAAAATAATTTTAATGAAATATGTTTTCCGACCTTATTTGGATTTTATGCTTTTTCAACCCAAGTCATTATTACTTTCCCGTTCCATTATAATCTATTTCCAAGCAAATGTCAGTGCGGCTAATGAGTTCATTTTCTGAATTTAGGGACTTACAAATCTTGCCTAATGTGGTCCTGTTGATTAAAGAGAGTGAAAAACATACATTATTTTAAATGCAGTTTTACTTCTGGGTCTGAATCATAGATCAGAAATGCCAACCAGCTGCAATTTGGCCTTGTTGAATTACCGTATTAAAGCTGAATTTCATTTCAGATTGAAAATGTGGACTAGGAAGGAAAAGTAATGGCTGGCAAAGAGACTGGGAATAATTCAAAGAAAGTTTGCTGTTAAATATGTGGTCTTTAAATAACTTTTTTTTTTTTTGATCATTGCAAAAAAAAAAAAAAAATTTACAAATTGCCTTCATTAAAGCTGATATACCAGACACAAATTAATGCAGCCCTGTAATCATTAATACATCATTAAATTCAGTTTTTAAATGCAAGAAATTTTAAGTACCAGAATTTCCTGGTATCAGCCTTGTACAGCAGGGCCAGAGTGTGAAAGGAAAAAGCAGCACAGATTGCCTGAAGGAACTGGCCATCTGGGGCTCGGTTGTTTACGAGGAACCTTGCTCTACCTAGTCCCCCCCCCCAAAAAATAAAAAAAGACCTGGACCATGAAGTCCTGCATTGACTTGCATGAAGCCAAAGTTCTCCCTTCATTGCTCTTTTCCCATGACGCCATCTTTAATGGAGATCCAGGGAAGTTTTTTTTCTTTTTAAAGATTCACTATTAAGGCTTGGTTCACCTTTTAAAAAAACCATGCACATATTTTCCAGGATAAAATGTGCATTTATAATTTTTTTTTCTATAGGAGCCTGCAGTATATGGCACTTTCAATTAGTAGATCATGGGTGCAATGTCAGGCTTCTGCAGTCACGTCCTCCAGCTCTCTGCCTGTACCTCTGCATGGGCTTTCAGTCAGAAAGCTGGAAGGATTATCAATGGACTGCGAGTGCCCTAATTGCCAAGCTCTAAATCCATTGAAATTACAGATCCGTCCCCTACCTGAACATATCTCTGGCCCCATGTCACTGCTCCACCTCTGTCTCTTGCTGCAGCACTGCTCCTCTCATTTCCTGCTTTCACAGGAGAAACAGAGGGCAGTGGAGCCATAGGCTCCTGCTGCTGTCAGTCAAACTCCTGTGAAAAGGGAGCAGTGTTGTGGCTTACTGGTGCTGTGCGTGTCTATGGATGCACATAGTCCAGCTCAGGAGCCTGCATGCACAGGCGCCTCCTTAGCACCCTGTTTGCTAGAGGAGGCACCCAAAGGAGGGAGGAGCAGACAGCGCCAGCGGTGGACTGCTATAGGAGGAGAAAAGCAACCAGGTAAGTCTTAAAGTGTTACTAAACCCACAACAGTAACATCAGTCTGTATATGCAGTAAAGCATGCTTCTTATACTCCCTGTGGAACCTAAGGGGTTAATCCTCTACATTGTGTAAAAAGATGTTTGATCCTGACTTCTCTGATCCTCCCCTTCTTCTGCTGTCCCCAATCCATCTGCTGATAGAAAAGAGTCTTGGGGGCGAGCTGCACATGCTAGTTTTGGTGTGTGTTGCTAGAGAGGTTTTTTTTTTTTATTCTTGAGTGCATGTGATTAGCACAGGGCCAATCAGCACTGTCCAGACAGAGGGTCAGGGGTAATGCAGCCTCATTGAACAATCAGGGGAGAATGAAAACTCCTCCTACAAGCTTCAACCAGTGCTCTGTGGACACTGATAGAAGTCACAAGACTACTTTAACTACTGATGAGAAAAGGTATTTAGCAGTTTATATTTACCAAAATAATTGCATTTCCATGTTGTGTGTACTGTGGGAGACCAGATATAGTGAATGCAGAGTCCGGATATAGTGAATGCAGGGTCCGGGGAGACTGGATACAGTGAATGCAGGGTCCGGGGTTTAGTAACAGTTTAAACTCTTTATTATTAAAAAATAATACCGGTTTTTGTATATTAAAATGTACGTTATTAAATGTTCTCTGTGTATTAAATGTCTATTTTTTTCAACATAAACTGTATATACAGTATATTAAACCAATAGCAAAAAAAAAGTTTAAAATGAGTTGGTGAGGACGTAAGGAGGGCAGTTTATGCTGCCTGATGGCAGGTGGATTTGATTATGGGATTGGCGTCTGCAATACTGCAGTATGCTGCATTCTTTTACCCTGATAGACACAGAACAGAGAGTGGACCATTACATCACAGGATGCCATTATTTTTTTTAACAGGTAATAAGAGGCTGATAAAAGGCATGGAGGAGCTCAGCTATGAGGAAAGATTAGAGGAACTGAATTTATTCTCTTGAGAAGAGGAGATTAAGGGGGATATGATCTCCATGTATAATACATAAGGGGGATATGATCTCCATGTATAATACATAAGGGGGATATGATCTCCATGTATAATAAATAAGGGGGGATATGATCACCATGTATAATACATAAGGGGGGATATGATCTCCATGTATAATACATAAGGGGGGATATGATCTCCATGTATAATACATAAGGGGGGATATGATCAACATGTATAATACATAAGGGGGGGATATGGTCTCCATGTATAATACATAAGGAGGGATATGGTCTCCATGTATAATACATAAGGGGAGGATATGATCTCCATGTATAATACATAAGGGGGGATATGATCACCATGTATAATACATAAGGGGGATATGATCTCCATGTATAATACATAATGATCACCATGTATAATACATAAGGGGGATATGATCTCCATGTATAATACATAAGGGGGATATGATCTCCATGTATAATATACATAAGGGGGATATGATCTCCATGTATAATACATAAGGGGGGATATGATCTCCATGTATAATACATAAGGGGGGATATGATCAACATGTATAAATACATCAGTGGTTCATATAGTGAACTCGGTGTAGAGCTATTCACCCTGAGGTCATCACAGAGGACAAGGGGGCACTCTTTACGTTTGGAGGAAAAGAAATATAATCTCCAAACACGGAAAGGTTTCTTCACAGTAAGATCTGTGAAAATGTGGAATAGACTCCCTCAAGAGTTGGTTCTGGCCAGCTCAGTGGATTGCTTTAATAAAGGCCTGGATTCTTTCCTAGATACACAGAATATAACTGGATACTAACATTTATAGGTAAAGTTGATCCAGAGAATATCCGATTGCCTCTTGGGGGATCAGGAAGGAATTTTTATTCCCTGCATGAGCAAATTGGATCATGCTTTGCTGGTTTTTTTTGCCTTCCTCCGGATCAACTGTGGGTGTAGGATTTTTTTTTTTTTTGGTTGAACTGGATGGACTTTTGTCTTTTTTTCAGCCAGACTAAATGTAATGGATGCCAGTTTTTAACAGATGGGGCAGTTAGCTCTGCAGTTTGCTTTTTCTGTCACCAAGCAGGACAAGGTAGATGGAGGAATCAGGACATTGTATTCTAACAATGACACCTGCCGCTGTTAGAATACACTGATCAGTGGCTGCAGCTGATTGGCTGTCCAATCAGCTGCAGCCACTGATTTATGGAAAATATTCTAATATGTCTCTTTGAGAGACTTTGATTAAACAATTAACTTCTGTTGAGCAGGGGAGCCCGACACACTAATTGAAATTATTTTGAACAGTGTATGGCCAGCTTGGCACATTAAAGCAGCTGCTTATGCGCAATGGGGGGACTGGCTGTCACTCATCAGGAAGTCACAGCCAGCTTCCAAATCCAAGATAGCGGCACTGGGGATCTTCAGTGGTGACAAAAATTGGCTGTGGGAAAACAGCATTGGACTCCATGGACTGGTAAGTGCCTGAATTTTTTTTTTTTTTTTTTTTAGTCAACAGCTACAGTTTTTGCAACTGTTAATTCTAATTTAAAAAAAAAAAAACTTGGTGAAGGTCCTCTTTAATTAAAATATTTGTGTGTATGAGATCCACATATTTGTCAGGGATTACCCTTTGTTTCATATGTCAGAATTTTACTTCCGTGTATAGTGCAGAATTACTCATAACTGTTTGCTACAGAAAGACGATAGCTATTATTTACCGAAGACTGTTAGCGGATTTTCCGATAGTTACAGAATGCTGCCTGTCCTGTTTCTGGGTTGTGCAGTTAAACACCCACATTGTTGTATATGTTGGCATCCGTGTAATGGGAAAATTATTAGATTTGTAACATATTTGCATAAAAGCATGCAGGAGATGTGAACTAGAGCTGGCCTGTACTGTACCAATAAACTTGGGAGATGAATGATGGATGTGTTTGCTTTTAATACCATCGTGTGCGTTTTGGATTGTACACTTGCTTCTAATACCAGGGAAATTTACTGGAAGAACCAGAGTTTTATATTCCTATTTAATCTGAAAATGACCCTGGAAGGCATATACAGAACTCAGCCTACATTCTTTAGCATTTAAACTGTTTTTCTTAATCTTACAGAAGAGGACACATGCTTCCATTAATCAAGACCATGAGTTATATAGTCTTGAAGACACCTTAAGCAGCCTATGTAACCCCCTCCCCATGTTACAGTCTATGTAACCCCCCCCCCAATCCCAAAAAATCCTCAGTTTTTTGCTAGTATCCTTAGCTAATGGATAACCTCTCTACTGAGAGCAGGTTTCTGGCTTGTAATTCTTATTCTACTTGGAAGACTTTGAAGACTGTGCTCTGTCCTTTGCATGAAGAAGTCCTTTCTCCACCTTGTTGCATCATAAAGCCACTATAGCTAATTCTTGTAGCATCTGGTCGTGCCTCGGGGGAACCATACCTGAGCTGAAGATACAGGTCCAGCCTGTAAAGTTGCCTCTGACACTTGGCTCTGTGTTTAGTGCTCACTTTAAGTACAGCGAGGTGCAGTTAGTTGCAGATCACTCTACTGGTCCAGGGCATTGGCAATCCACACAGGTGGGACCCTGTCCCTGCAGTCCCTTTCTAGCAAATGAAACCCACTGTGAAGGAGCCAGGCCAGCACCCTGGTATAGTGAGTCTGGGTCTTTGCCCATTCCCTGTGGGGTTCCTCCTCAAAAAGAAAAACTCTCTCACACCCCAGCCTGAGGGTAGTCCCTAGACATTGGGCCCCTGATTCTTGCACATGGGCTGGGCAGCAGGATTTTGCTTTGGTGTGTAGCAGGACTGCTGCAACATTTTTAAATAGTTTGTTGAGGCTGTGGAGCAACTGTGTGTCACTGTTGCGGCCATAACATACTGTGCTCCACATTCTTCATCGTAAGGAGATTTTGCCGCCTTGCCTGTGACACATTTTTGGGCACTCAATGGCCCATTTTGTGTCACAGTTCTGCTCCTGTACTAGGTACCTCAGTACTTCTTGAGCTCCGAGCACCATTCTGAACACATTACTCCACAACAGACCTGGTACAATGCAGCCCCATTTCTATCCTGCTCTGTATTGTGGCATAGGTCTCTGCAACAGCCTTCATAAGGTTATCCAGCAGCCTTCTGATCCACAGGTGGATTCACCCCTTCTGTACTATAGCAGATCTAATGGGGAAAGTCTCTGTACTGATAGAGACTGTGGGATGCAAAAGGCACAAGTGCTGCGAGTTGGCAACCGCAACATTGTCTGACTCGTCCATGGCACCACCACTGCCTCCTGATGAAGATGAGGAGGCGGAGGAAAATGAGGAAGTGGAGGGTGAATCCTTAGAGTCTGAGAACTGTTCCCGGGAGAATGGGAAGCCTTGATCTCCTAAGCAGACAGAAACCATTACAGTTGTAGTGGAGAAGGTATGCTACTGTTTAAAATTAAAGGTGGGATCTATTTCCAAGACCAAGAAACCTAATAGCTCCTTTCTGGTTCACGCAATTGTACCTGATGTGCTGTACTAGGACTGCCTGCAATCAAACAAAGTGTATACCCCTCTCAAGAGGTTTGTGCAGCAGTACCCAGTGGAGGAGGCCTACCACAAAAAGTGGCAAGTGCCTGTAGTGGATCTGGCTGTTTCTTGCCTCAACAGATGCCAAACAGTTCCGGTTGCGGATGTCCAGACTGATCTGCAGAAAACCGTTTGTGAGAAACATCTGAAAAGAATACCCTCTAATGGAGCATAACTCTTCAGAGAGTCTTCAAACCTCTTTATTAGGAAGTCATGGGCAGAAAGATCACTTTCCTACATAGTAAGAAGAAAGCTAAAGAACCCACTACAAAGTCAGTGGTTTCTGGTTTTTGATAGAGTTCCTTTCATCCCTTCCAAACCTCTGCTTCTAAAGCCAAGTCTACCTCTTTGTCCTAGACATCCAAGTCTCCCTCACAATTACAAAGAGCCCCCACTTTCTTGTTGGGACGTGTATTAGACTTTTCAGCCACCTGGACTCAGAGAATTTCAGATCTTTGGGTCAGGGATGTGATGTACCAGGTGTACAGGTTGGAATTTCAGTCCCTGCCTCCTTCTTTCTTTATACCCTTCCCTCTTCTCTGATGATCTTGTGGGCCCTTCAGATTGCCTTGCAGCAAGCTGTTCTCTTGGAAGAACAGTTTTGGGGCTTTTTAATGCTCCTGATGCACAGCAAGTGTCTTCACTGCATCCTAGACCTGAAAGCTCTCAGCACCTTCTTGTGGGTCCAAAAGTTCAGTAGGGAATTGGATATCAAGGGTGCACATTTTGTATATTCCCATTTTCCCCCCGCATCAACAGTGCCATTTGTAGTAGGTGAGCAACACTTCCAGTTTGTGTCTCTAATCTTTCACCTATCCACACCCCCCAGCTCTTCATCAAGGTGCTTGTCCCAATCCTCCTGCTGTGGCTGCGGTCTCAGGGAATCTAAATGATTAAATATCTGATCTCCTCTTCAAGGAGCACTCCACTCAGGCTCTGGCGACCAACGTGCTGTGCAAGATACCGATATTTCAGAGCTTTAGGTAAATCCTCTACTGCCAGGGTTCTACATTGGG